CAAGTTCAATGCAGTTATATTGAAGAGACTGTTCATGAGCAAGGTTAACAAGGCCTCGCTTTCTCTCTCGTCTTGTCACTTCATGAAGGGAAAGGAAGACAAAATTGCAATGCTTGTTGAGACTGTGTAACTGATGATATTCGGGCTTATGAAGTCCCCGCAATGAAGGTAACGACTTTGAGATTCACAGAGAAAGCAAGGGCAAGAATTGAGAAGGCAGGAGGAAAATGCTTAACTTTTAATCAGCTAGCTCAGAGCTCCTCTTGGGCAAAACACGGTAGTGAATATTCCAGTCTTTTTCTGTTAATTTCTTTTTCTTGATAATTTTATTGTTGCTAGAGTTTGATATAGTTGGTAGTATAGAACGGTTGAAATGAGATTTTTAACCAATAACATGAATATCATTTTGTCAGTGATTTCAATTATGCAATGATTGTTGTGTTCACTACTTTGATAGTTTGATTCATTGTTTCCTTTGAACTAGTATTTAAGGTTTGATATGGATTTTGTTACTCATAAAAATTGCTTTGTTAAAGATTTTTTTTTTTTTTTTTTTTGCTCAATGTTCAATTGTTTTGGTCTTGCTTACAGCTATGATTTTGCTGGTAAATTTTGCCTTTTCAGTTTGTGCTACAAAAACCTTATGCTGTTATGAAACCTAAAATAGCTAACTGTGCCATTTTGATGCAGGTACTTCTTAGAGGACTCGTGAAGTCTCGTGAGGGAGCGAAGCACTTTGGTCCAACTCCTAGTGTTCCACACAGCCACACCAAGCTGAATGTGCAAGCCAAGGGTAGGAAATTTGAGCTTGCTAGAGGTAGAAGAAGCAGCAGAGGTTTTAAGGTCACAACCATTAATTATTGCTAGGTTGATGGCTTTATTTTATTTTATTTTATCAGATTTTCTATGAAAGGTTTTGTCCCACTATGTATTCCCCGCCCCGATTATTTCCTTATGTTCTCTCATCATTTTTTTTTCTCTTCAATGCAATTGTTATCACATTTGCTACTATAATGTTACTTGTGATTTATATCACGTGGATTGTCCTAGACATGCTTATTATGTTAAAAATCGCTAATACACTCACGTGAATTGTACTGAACATGTTGATTATGTTAAGAACATGATTACTGGTTCCGCGCAAATGAATGATGCTATTTTGGTGTCTGTCATTTTTTTATTTTTATTTTTATTTTTTTGAGCTTGTGTGTTTTTTTATTTTTTTCATTTTGTCACTTTTTGAGTGTGTCACTTTTTTTTTTTTAATTTGCCACTTCTTTTAAGTTTGTGTCGCTTTTTTGAATTACGAAAAAAGTGACAATTTTTATAAAAGAGTGACATTGCATCACTTTTTAATTTTACATAGTTTATTTCATGGGATACAAATAAAAAAATTTATAGGTCACAAATTAACGAATTTTAAGGTTACAATTTAATTGTTAGTCACAAAGAACCAAATATTTGGTCATATACACCAAACGCTCCACCCTGCTCTCGATCTACTACCAATACTTGGTCACAAATCAACCAAATAATTGATCACAAAACACTCTTCATCACATCCCGCTGCCACCACTACATCGCTACTGCTAACAATAACAACAACAAAAACAACACAATGCCACACTATATTGTATTTGTATTCTTTGTGTTGATGAACTTACTTTCATTACAGAAAATATCGTGCACGCAAGGATGTTGTACGTGCAATCCATTAAGACAACAATTTCGATGATTTTTTTCACTTGTATATTCATTATCTTGTGTCCATTTGTCTCCATAACAAACGAAAACATTAATTTTATCCATACCTGGAAAAAGATTGCAAAAAAATTGTGAGTTTTTTTTTTTTTAAAGTGACAGAGTAATATGCATCTAGTTAATTGCTCCAGTGAGATACCGTGACTTTTTTAAGAATGTCACTTTTTCACATTCTCTTTAAACAAACATGTTTCATGCATCAATGCAATTGATTCGAAGTTTTTCTATTTCATATATATTACCAAAAAACAGTGCTTAATTGGTATGTTCAAATTTTCAAAAAATGTACACGTATGCATCTAGTTAATTTTTCGAATGATATGATGTAACTTTTTATTGAAAAAGTGACATTCTGTCACTTTTCTATGGAAAAGTGACAGAATTACATTCTCCTTAAGCAAAAGCCTTACATGCATCAATGTAATTAATTCAAAATTTTCTTTTTTATATGTATTACCAAAAAACAGGAATTGAATTGGTATATTCGAATTTTCAAAAAATACAAACGTAATCATGTATACATTTACTTAATTGCTCAAATGATATGGTAATGTTATGACTTTTTTTTGAAAAAATTGACAAAATGTCACACTCTCTATGAGTAAACACCTTGCACGCATCTATGTACTTGATTCAAAGTTTTCTTTTTCATATATATTACCAGAGAACAAGACATGAATTAGTATGTTCAAACTTTCAAAAATGCACAAGTATGCATCAAGTTAATTATTCCAATGAGAAATTGTGACTGTTTTGGAGAAAGGTCACAGAATGTCACTTTTTTGTCGAAAAGTGACACAATGTCACTTTTTTGGAGAAACGTGATAGAATGTCAGTCTTCATGAGCAAACACCTTACATGCATCCATGTAAGTGAATCGAAGTTTTCTTTTTCATATATACTACTTGAAAATAGGCCATGAATTAGTATGTTCAAACTTTCAAAAAAGCACATGTATGCATCGAAATGTGACAGAATGCCACTTTTTCAGAGAAAAGTGACACAATGTCACTTTTTTTGAGAAAAAATGATAGAATGTCACACTCTCCATGAGCAAACACCTTACACGCATCCATGTAGTGGATTCAAAGTTTTTTTTTCCTCATATGTAGTACCAGAAAACAGGGTATAAATTGGTATGTTCAAACTTTCAGAAAAGCACACGTATACATCTGGTTATTTGCTCCAATGATAAAGTGTTACTGCTTTGGAGAAATGTCACAAAATGTCACTTTTTTGTAAAAAAGTGACACAATGTCACCTTTTTTTTTTTTTAAGAAAAGCGACAGAATGTCACCCTCTCCATATGTAAACACATTGCACGCATCCATGTAATTGATTCAAAGTTTTCATTTTCATATGTATTCTCATATAACAGAGCATGAATTGGTATGTTTAAACTTTCAAAAAAGCATACGTATGCATCCGGTTAATTGTTCCAATAATAAAGGGTGACTGTTCTTGTAGAAAGGTAATGAATGTCTCTTTTTCGTTGAAAAGTGACACAATGTCATTTTTTGATAAAGGTGACAGAATGTCACTCTTCATGATCAAACATCTTGCAAGCATCCATGTAGTCGATTCAAAGTTTTCTTTTTCATATGTATTACCAAAAAACAAGGTATGAATTGATATATTCAAACTTTCAAAAAAAAAACACACGTATGCATCTGATTAATTGCTCTAATGATAAATGGTGACTGTTTTGGAGAAAGGTCACAAAATATCACTTTTTCTAAGAAAAGTGACAAAATTCCACTTTCTCACATTCTCTTACGAGCAAACACATTGCAAGTATCAATGCAATTCGTTCAAAGTTTTCTTTCTCATGTGTATTACCAAAAAATATGGATTGAATATATACATTCAAATTTCCAAAAACTCACACATGTATATATAGCTAATTGTTCAAGAGAGATGTTGTGACTTTTTTTTTTTTTTTTTTTTTGAGAAAAGTGACAGAATGCCACTTTCTCACCTTCTCCTTTAGGCAAACACATCGCAAGCATCATTGAAATTGGTTTAAATTTTTTTTCTAATGTGTACTACTAGAAAATAGAGCTTGAATATGTACGTTCAAATTTTCAAAAACTCACACATGCATACCTAATTAATTGCTCAAAAGAGATGCTGTGACTTTTTTTTAGAAAGGTGACAGAACTCCACTTTCTCACATTCTCCATTGAGTAAACACATTGCAAGCATCAATGCAATTGTTTTAAAGTTTTTTTCTCATGTGTATTACCAGAAAATAGAGCTTTAATATGTACGTTCAAATTTTCAAAAACTCACACGTGCATGCCTAGTTAATTGCTTAAAAGAGATGCTGTGACTTTTTTTTTTTTGAAAAAAGTGATAGAATGTCAATTTTTCACATTATCTTTTTGTCAAAAACCTTGCAAGCATCAATGTAATTGATTCAAAACTAATTTTTCATATGCATCGACACAATCCACTCAACTTCAACAATTTTATTTTCATACATGTTTCCAATCAAATTAATAAAATCGTCAAAAAGAAACTTCATAAATGTTAATTATACATTATGAGATTTAAACTAAATCTAATCATGAAATTCAAACAAAAATGAGATGGATAATGAGTGATAATCATGGAATCCAAAACATAAAAATACCTGTAATTTTGTTTGTGTTTTTGTGGAAGATCTCGACTTTTTTTTTCCAGATTTTTCAATGTTTTTGTGGATCGAGAGGAATGAACAAACTTTGTTTATGTATTTGTGGAAGATTTCCTCTTTTTCCTTTCAATTTACCTTTGATTTTTGCATATTGGAGGCTGATTTATGAGAATTGTTGTGAGTTTAGGTTTTGAGCGTATATTTTACGTTCAATTTTAAGTAATTACCATTTAATCCAAGTTTATAATGCTTTTTTTTTTTCAAAACAATCCAAAAATATAGGGTATTTTTGTAAGTACCCCTAAATATTACATGTGATGGGCCATGAGAGTCTAACAATTATTGTTGCAAGTGGTGGGATCAAAGGTGGCAGTGGTTTTAATGGTCACGGTGATGGTGGAAATAAACAACAAAAGTTTTGGTGGTGTTGGAGCATTATTCCATCTCACATTGTTGCCTTAGCATACTCATGTTAGTGTCATAGGTATTAGTTAGACTCACACTGCTACCTTTGTGTGCTTATATGACTATGAACCCATTCGATAAATCTTATGCTTTTACTTCTACTTTTTTTAAAAGTGTATTATGTTCTAATCAGATTGAATACTTCTTGAAAAATATCAAAACAAGTTTGGAAGAACTTTTGATTTTTCAAAATCTTGTCAAACTGGTCCACGTGCTCACAATATTATTCAGAAAGAAACAAAAACTGGCAATAAAGATTATGGAGCACTAAACATAATTAAAATAGAACCTCTACAAATCCACACAGTCTTAAGAAAATCGCGAAAGAATCAGCCAACTTCAAAAATACCTTTTGAAGAATACGAGAGTTCATTCTCTTCCCATAAAATTGACGATTTTGTACTGAATAACAAACAAGCATTGTCCTATTAGTACCAGAATTGATCAAAGCCAGAGAGCTCCAGCTTCCTTGAGAAGTGGGACTAATGTACCTTTAATATGTGAAGCCATAACTCTGTCCATAGTACCAACAAGTCTGCCGCCGATGAACACCACCGGCATGGCCGAGGAGCTTCCGAGAAGCGTCATAAGTGCCTTCTCAATTTCTTTACCGCGGGGATCTTGGTCTATCTCGTGAACACTTGGGTTCACTCCCATGCCACAGAAGAGCCTCTTCACTGCATGGCACATACAACACGTACTCACGCTGAATATCACCACCGCACTACCGGTGGCCATCCGCATCACCGTCTCTAGCGAGTCCAACGCCTCGCTTTGCCTCGTTGAACTATACATCTTAGTATTTTTTACCTGTTCGAGGGATCGCAATTTGGATGATGTGTGAAATAATGAAAAGGATTAGGGGGTATATATAGAGTGGGGTGTTGGTCCGGTTATTGTCTACGGTAGGAGACGGCTATATTTTTAATTTTATTAGATGAGTGAATATTTAATATTGTACTGGTGTATATTATTAGATGTAGTGTCAATATATTTTGTGGTAAGTACGTATGTAGAAACGGCAAGTAGAATCGTGTTGTTGGGTGCTCTAATTAATGAGACTCTTACGTGACCTTTAATGTGCACGTTGTCTTCTCTTTAATTGATTCTGAATCATTGAAGGTACACAAGAACTGTTACTTAATGCTGACTACCAACTTGTTTTCTACACACCCGCTAACAATTTAGCAATAAGTTGTCTAAGACGCCATGTCATTTTAAATAAATGGCATCTTATTATTTGTTAATAAGAGTTAGTGTAGCTGTGAAGTGTTAAGGGAATAGCCAAATGCCACAACAGATCTTAACAATATTACAACTAGCAAATTACACTAATAAATGAGAGATTTTTTCATTGACAAGTTTAGAATAAGATTTTCTAATGGAAAATTAGAGTTGGGTTCTCCAACTCTTTAAGCAATGTCAAAATGTTTTTAATCTTCAAATTGACAAGGTGCAACTTGTAACTTTCATGTCAAAGTTAGCAAAATATTAAAGGTCCGTTTGATTGTAAAGATGGAATTGAATTGAATTGAAAACGAATTTTAGGGAATCGAATTTCCTAGTAAATGTTTTCCTGAGAATTGTAAATTATTGTGTTTGATTAGTATAATTTTTCACGTGGAAGATGTTGAAATAAAAAGTGTTTTTTAGTATTCGTTTAACTTTGTTTTATATGAAAATTATCAATTAAAGGGATATAATTTACTGGTATTGGGGATGAAATTTGTTTCCATTGCAAAATTCTTAGAATTTGTTTTCATTGCAAAAAAAAAAAAGGAAAAAAAAACATGGAATTCGATTTCCCACCATATAGGTGGGAAAACAAATTCAATGAAAAGCAAGAAATGGTCACCGTGTGAAGCAAAAATGGAATTTCAATTGCCAAGAAAAAATGCCTATCAAACACCAACAAAGGTAGAAAATGGAAAACATTTTTCATGGAATTGGAAGTGAATCAAACATACCCTAAGGGTGTTTTTGATTACATTAATTTTTCATGGAAAATATCAATTTTCCATCCAAATTCCTACTTAGAGTGTTTGATTGCTATTTTTTTCCATGAAAAATATTTTCCAACTTTTGAAAATATGCCTAATTTTCCTTGTTTTTAAGAAAAACATTTTCTTTGGGTAGAGGTGGTTTTTATTTTCCATAAAAGATGGAAAATATTTTATTTTCTAGGTGATATTTTCCATGTTAATCAAACACACTCTAAGTGATTTTACGATTCTTTTTCTTCAACTTCAATTCATTTGAAAGTGACATGCAATTTTATTATCCACGTTGTTGATTTCGATCATGAGGAGATCCAATCTCACAACGTTGAATAGATCAGGGAGACAAAACTTCACTTTAGAAGGAGAATCGTTTGTATACTAGAAAATTGGAATTTGACTCCTAATTTTCTCTAGTTTATATTAAGCCTTTTGGGTTTCATTTTATTTTACTAAGCCTATGTTTCGCCTCCTTTTTATCAAAACTCATTTTCAACCTCATATTTTTTTATAAAATGGTTTTATTTTTTATTCTTTTTTAATCACACGATCTCCAAATATTCACAATTTCAAAATACTTTTTTTTTTTTCACCATAATGGGGCTCAAATCAGAGCTAAATTTTACTTTTGAAAAAAATGAGTGGCTGATAAGCATGTAAAACTTGTGATTAATACGAAATGCATTATAAAAATTAATGATTAACTTTGAAAAATAAAATTTTAAAATAAGAAAATGAAATTCGACTAAATTCTATATACTGAATTCTAAACACGAAAAATATTTACAAATTTTTAACCTAAATGCCAAAAACTTTAGGATTAGGAAGCCGGTTCAACCTTTAACCCGGACGACAGAAGTATCCAACCGTTGCCGTACATTATTGTTGTCATGGTGGTGTACTATACTTTTTTTTGTCCTACTATTTGCCAGACTTTCTTCCCTCAACTCTCTGCCTCTCAATTTCTCTCAAAACTCGAATTCCATTCTTCTTCCGGTACTTAGATTTGTATTTTTATAAAAATAATTGCCTTATCCTACTTAGTTCATCTATACCGATACCGACAACCAACTGCCTTTTTTTCTCTACCTCAACACCAAACTCCTCAAAGTCCTTAACCCACAGTTTGAACCACGCAACTATATTGGAGATTCGACGGTTGAATGATAGTCTAATTGTGTGTATGGAAGACAATGTATTTCACACTATAGAGAACGATACAAATTTACGATTATTTCAAAGTATGAAAATGCGTAGGCGGCGTTTTTAGTAATGTATTAAATTATTTTCATTAAACTGGAAAAAATTGTAGCTTAATTTTGACCTTGCAATAAAAAATATTAGGCTCCATCAGTGAACATGGTTAGGGTGTTAATTAGTATAAAATGTTGTTGGGGCCTGTTTGGTAGTGTTTCTACTTCTTATAAAAAAGTTTCATAAGGAAACTACCTTATAGTCCGTTTGGCGGGAATTCTAAAAGCCAATCGAGATTAAGAAATTGATTTTAAACATATATAAATATTTTTCTAAAAATACTTTGTCTGGCTAGAAAAGCATTTCGAGGAAGTTGACCTAGAATAACATTTTTTGGAAAATTCTTTTTCAAGAAGAAAAAACTACTAAACGGGCCATTAGATTAGTTTCCTCTAAAGTTCTTCTACCAAGTCAAATCACTTCTATAATACATAATCCAAACACGTCCGAAAAGAGTTTCAACTTTCCAAATATCTTGCCAAATAGGCCATTTGTGAGATAACTGTGTAATATCTAGAAGAATTTAAACTTCTCAAGTCTAAGGCACATTACTATGTCCTTTTTTAAATAATATTTATCCATCACCAAAATATAAATGCAATTAACGACAACAATTGAAATTCCAAGAATTTTGATAAACTAATTCATGATGTTTATTTTCTACTTTTGCAGTGTAACAAAATACAAATTTGATTTTGAAAATACAAAATGTAAATGAAGTATGCAAGAAGATTATAGAAGGAAAGGAGAGAACAAATGGTACTCTTATCACTTTTCACTTGTACAATGAAAAAATAGAATCTATTTACAGATCTTGTTACACAATCATTGTTCATAGGTCACTTTTCAATTGAATTACATCAATTAAAACCGAATGAATTTATAAAGAAAAAATAATAGTTGAGTGATTAAGTATATACCGAAGCATATATCAGGCACATAGTTTGAAGTTCAAAAGTCCGGTGTCTATATATATATATACAGCTATTTCCTAAAATTACACCTAGTTCCCTTCTATATCAGGACTCATTTCAGTACAAAATCGACATCCTAAAATTAAAAAATTCAGCTGGCATTCTGCGTTCTCACCGTGAAAACCTATTTCCGCCTTCAACGATAATGAAGCAGGTAACAGTTATCACTGATTTTGATGAGAAATTTCACAATCTCACCTGCGTTTAAAACTTTGAGTCACATACTCGGGAATTGTGTTCGGTAAATCGAATACAATTGTCAGAGACAAGAATAGTCATTAAATTTCAAACTACGATTATCAATTTAGTAATACAATCATATTTGCAGCAGAAGAAATCTAACATTAGTCGCAGAAGTCCTGATCGTCGCTGGACATAAATCAGGAAGCATGCCTAAATATGGAAATCAATATGACCAAATTATATTAACGAAGTAAGGAAGTAGGAGATTTTTAGGAGTTGAAAAAAATTAAAACTTGTTAATGGTAGTAGGGATTTATTTATGAAAATTACACCCAGCGACCGAATTTATTATGAGATTTCGAACTAAATTGTGCTACCTTTTTATTCTATAATTATTGACTTTAAAATAAAAAACTAACCATAACACAAGCAACCAAACAAGGGAATTGAAGTTTGTGCTACATATGTATTACAACTTACAGATTCATCTATCAATAGATGATGCGACAAAAATTTGGTTGGGTCAAAATTTAACTAACCAAATAAAATCCCCACTTTCATTTTGATACCTCATCAATCTATTAAAGATTATGTAGAATGGCAATGTATAAACAAGATTTTTCAATAAAAAAATTGGCCCACCACCCAAATTGCATCTTCTTCTGCTTCAAGTTTTGGTGGTGTTGGAGGATCGGGGTTTAAGTTATGAGATGGTGACAGTGGTGATCTTCGTTGTTAGAGGTGGAGAGGAACAATGGTCGATGGGGATGATAGTGATGGAAATAGGAAATGGTTGTGGGTGCAAATATGGTACTAGTTATAGTTGTTTATGGTGAAGGCGATGGTGCTCTGGTTCTTGTGGTGATAGTAATGTGGATGTGGATGGTGGTGGTGCTTGCATCGGCGACAATGATAGATGAACGTGTATGTGTTTCACTTGGCTTTCGAAACCAAATCAAACATTGAATCTGTTTGGTTTTTGTGTGTATGTGTTTGTGTTTGAGTTTGTATTCATTTTTGTTTTTGTTTTGTTGGTATTGGTTGCAATGACAATTGTGGTGTCGGATTTGATTGTTGCGTGGTGTGTTTGAGGAGTTTATTTTTTACGGTGATGACATTTCGATGGTGACTTGGTGGTGGGTTTACCATGAAGTGATGAGGGCGACGGTGGAGTAACACGGTATATTAAACATGTTGGGTGCAACAACGATGGAGGAGGAGGAGGAGGTCGTGGTGGTCTGGTGATGACAGTATAATGATATATGTTACAACTGGTGGTGATGGTGTAGGGTAGTGATATAAAAATAGGTATTACAAGTGATGGGCCGCGGGAGTCTAACAATTATTGTTGTAAGTGGTGGGATCAACAGTACCAGTGGTTCTAACGGTTATGGTGTTGGTGGAAATAAACAACAA